GCTATTCAATCTATAACAGTGAAAAAATATTATTATTTTTTTAAATCCAAGCTATTGTGACACGAGATCTAATTAGTGGCACTGGTCAGCGTATCCACTGTTAGCGTAACACACTCGCTTTAAGGACACTGACTGCTATTCAATCTATAACAGTGAAAAAAGATTATTTTTTTTTTAAATCCAAACTATTGTGACACCAGATCTAATTAGTGGCACTTGTCCGCGTATCCACTGTTAGCGTAACACACCCGCTTTAAGGACACTGACTGCTATTCAATCTATAACAGTGAAAAAAGAGGTGACTTTGTTTTTAAATCAAGCTTTGTGTCGCAGATCTAATTGGTGGCACTTGTCAAGCGTATGCACTGATAGCGTAACACACAGCTTTAAGGACATGACTGCTATTCAATCTATAACAGTGAAAAAGATTTTTTTTAAATCCAAACTATTGTGACACCAGATCTAATTAGTGGCACTTGTCAGCGTATCCACTGTTAGCGTAACACACCCGCTTTAAGGACACTGACTGCTATTCAATCTATAACAGTAAAAAAAGTTTTTTGTTTTTAAATCCAAGCTATTGTGACACCAGATGTAATTGGTGGCACTGACTGGGGAAATGGGCACAGTATGCACTGTGAGCCTGACACAGAAGCTGGCAGCAGTGGCAGACAACTGACTGCTATTCAATCTATAACAGTGAAAAAAGTTTTTTGTTTTTAAATCCAAGCTATTGTGACACCAGATGTAATTGGTGGCACTGACTGGGGAAATGGGCACTGTGAGCCTGACACAGAAGCTGGCAGCAGTGGCAGACAACTAAGTGCATTTACATTAGATAGAAAAAAAAAATCCAAAAAAAGCATACCCTTATCCCTAACCTAGCTATGCTTTTCCCTATCTTATGAACAGCAGCTACACTTTCCCTCCTCTTACTAAGCATGCAGCTTGAGAATGAATCTAAAATGGATGCTGTCCAGTAGGTGGGAGGGTCTGCTAGGGAGGCTGTGCTGCTAATTGGCTGGAATGTGTCTGCTGACTGTGAGGTACAGGGTCAAAGTTTACTCAATGATGACGAATAGGGGGCGGGTCGAACCGCGCATATGTTCGCACGCCATGGCGAACGCGAACATGCTATGTTCGCCAGGAACCGTTCGCCGGCGAACCGTTCGGTACATCACTATTAGTGTAGGGAGAGGATGCTGCATCTGTGAGGGACAGATTAGGAAAGAATTCTGGTGTTGAATCTGCAAACTATGGCGATTATTCAAACTACAGCGATTATTTTAGTGGGTGCTATACTAAATTTTTGTACCCTGCCCTGAGCCCAGTGCCACAGAGAGTGCAGTGCACTTGCAACTGCATGTGTGCCAGGAACATTACTTTAATCCTGTTCTGGTAGCTCAGTGGGCAACATCTAAGCATTTTTAAATACTGCAATTTTTTTGGTGCTAAATAGTACATTTGCGTACTGCATTTCTTGCAGTCTAATAAAACCCTTAATTACTACTGTGACATTGTTCATTTAAAAAAAATCACACTTTTTTGTGCTAAATAGAACATTTGCAGCCTGTGGTGCATTTCTTGCAGTCCAATAAAACCCTTAAATACTACTGTTACATTGTTGGTTTAAAAAAAAAAAAAATCACACTTTTTTTGTGCTAAATAGTACGTTTGCGGCCTGCGGTGCACTTCATATCTGAGAGTCAAATAGAACCGTCAAATACTGTGGTTACATCACACCTTGAAAAATTCACATTTATTTGGTGCTAAAAAGTAAATTTGGGGCCTGCACTTCACATCTGAGAGTCAAATAGAAGCGTCAAATACTGTGCTTACAGCGCAGTTTTAAACATTCAAATTTTTTAGGTGCTAAATTGTACATTTGGGGCCTGCACTTCATATCTGAGAGTCAAATAGAAGCGTCAAATACTGCTGTGACATTGCAGTTTGCCTAATTCAAATTCTTTAGGTGCTAAAAAGTAAACTTGGGGCCTGCACTTCATATCTGAGAGTCAAATAGAACCGTCAAATAGTGCTGTGACATTACAGTTTGATTAATTCACATTTCTTTGGTGCTAAATAGTTCCTTTTCGGGCATGCACTTCATATCTGAGAGTCAAATAGAACCGTCAAATAGTGCTGTGACATTGCAGTTTGACTAATTCACATTTTTTTTGTGCTAAATAGTACATTTGGTGTGTGCACTTCATATCTGAGAGTCAAATAGAACCGTCAAATACTGTGCTTACAGCGCAGTTTTAAAAATGCTAATTTTTTGGGTGCTAAATAGTCCATTTTCCACCTGGGGTGCACTTCACATCTGAGAGTCAAATAGAAGTGTCAAATACTGCTGTGACATTGCAGTTTGCCTAATTCAAATTCTTTAGGTGCTAAGTAAATTTGGGGCCCGCACTTCATATCTGAGAGTCAAATAGACCCGTCAAATACTGTTACATCACACTCTAAATGGTGCTAGATAGTACATTTGGGGTGTGCACCTCATATTGTGCCAGACAATCTACCTGTGCATGGCTTGTGTGATACAATAAGTCTACATCTTAAAACTGCAATAACCCACAGAAGATGGGCGAGAATTTTTTTGGGAAAATGGAACTTTGATTCGAATTTACTACATCAGCATAAGAGGGAGCAGGATACAAAAGCGGAGCGGCCGCCCCCCAGACGCTCGTCGGCATGTACTAGCTCTAGAATTCCCACAGTTATCCAAGTAACAGATGGAGCGATCAAAGGAACCATAACTGATTTAATTACTCCTAATGAGCCATTTGTAGTTTCTGTGTAATGGCTGTGTGCGCTTTTGGCGTTCTCACCCTGCTGCTGCTCACTTGTCTGCGCTGCAGCGTAACTTCGGCCTTCCCGCTCACCGCCTCATATGTGTACTCATTCCAATTACAGGGCTTCGAAAGAGTCATGTATTTTATCGTCACTACCTCGCTGCGTCGGGAGTGGGTAATTTGCGCGTCTGCTGCCTTCCTTGCATGTGGTAGCCGTTTCTCAGGCTCCCTCTCTGGAATCGAACCCTGATTCCCCGTTACCAGTGGTCACCATGGTAGGCGCGGAAAATAGCATCGAAAGTTGATAGGGCAGACATCCGAATGCGTTGTCGAGGTTATCACAGACACGAGGTTATCACAGATAAGCGCAGCCATCTGTCCACGGCCAATGTGGACAAGCTCACATTTATTAAATTGAACCAGGCATGGATCCCACCAGACTTGTCTGTACCTTGTGCAGAATAGACATTTATACTGGCCTCACCCAGCCATTGTTATACTCAAGTGCACTTATTCTTTTTTTTCTTTTTTTATATGTTACAATATTTTGGGGGCTACCCCAATTAAAAATAAAAATAAAAAACAGTGTTGGCTTCCTCCACCACCGCCGCCGCTTCCACCTACACCGCCACGGTGTATACCCAGATATATCAGAGCTGCTGCAGAAAGTGCGGGCCGTCTGTGCGTGCTTTTGGCGTTCTCACCCTGCTGCTGCTCGCCTGTCTGCGCTGCAGCATAACTTCGGCCTTCCCGCTCACCGCCTCATATGTGACGTGTCCACAAGGTGGAACTCCACTTTGCACATGCTGGAGAGACTGTGCGAGCAGCAGTAGGCGATAGCGGAGTTTCAGCTGCAGCACGCAAGGGTCAGTTGCTCTGCGGAACAGCACCACTTCACCACCAATGAGTGGGCCTCCACGTGAGACCTGTGTGCCATGTTGCGCTGTTTTGAGGACTCCACCAACATGGCCAGTGCCGATGACGCCGTTCTCAGCCTTACTATCCCGCTTCTATGTCTCCTTGAAAAAATGCTTTGGGCGATGATGGAAGAGGATGTGGCACAGGAGGAAGAGGAGGAGGAAGAGGGGTCTTTTCCATGGTTATCAGGCCAGTCATTCACAAGTGGCTCGGAAGGTGGGTTCCTGCACCAGCATAGTCCAGGTACACAATTGTCCAGCATCTCCACACTGTCCCATGGAAGCGTTCAGCTGTCCATCTCCCAAACACTGGAGAGAAAGAGGAAGTACCCCCCAACCCACCCGCGATCCTTGGCCCTGAATGCCAGCATTTCAAAATTTCTGGCCTTTGAAATGCTGTCATTCCGTCTGGTGGAAACAGTTTTAAAAACCTGATGGCGTTATTGGACTGCAAGAAATGCACCGCAGGCCGCAAATATTTTTTTTTTATATGTCCCAATATTTTGGGGGCTACCCCAATTAAAAAACAAAAAGACAAAAAACAAATAAACAATGTTGGCTACCTCCTCCTCCACCGCCGCTTCCACCCACACTCCACGGTCACCGCCTCCTCAACCTATGGGTCACGTAGTATAAACTATGTACACAATAGCAGAGGCTTGTGAAGGCCTTTTCTCCATGCATCAGGAGTTGAGCATTTCTCCATGCATCAGGACTACAAGAAATGCACTGCAGGCCGCAAATTGTTTCTTTTTTTATATGTCCCAATATTTTGGGGGCTACCCCAATTAAAAAACAAAAAACAAAAAAAAACAAATAAAAAACAGTGTTGGCTACCTCCTCCTCCACCACCGCTTCCACCTACACTGCCACGGTCACCGCCTCCTCAACCTATGGGTCACGTAGTATAAACTATGTCCACAATAGCAGAGGCTTGTGAAGACCTTTTCTCCATGCATCAGGAGTTGAGCTCAGTTTGAACAATGAAAGAGAATACCCTGCACTCCAACCCTCTCTCAAATGGATAATTCTGGTGATCCTCCTGACAGCCATGCTTTAGATTTTGATTTATGTTCTTCCAAAACTAAAATCAAAGATTCCATCTAGTGCTATTTTATGGCTCAGCTGTATTTTTCATTTTTATGTATTTTATGTTATTTTAAGTGATTTCCCTATCCACATTTGTTTGCAGGGCACTTGTCATACTCTTACCCCCATTTTACTTCCTTTTGCAGCCCTCTGGCCCTTTTTATGACTTTTTTTAGAGGCATGTTAGTGCCCAAAAGTTTGGGTCCCCATTGACTTCAATGGGGTTCAGGTTCGGGGTCAAGTTCGAGCCGAACTCAAACATTTTTACTAAGTTTGGCCGAACCTGAACATCCAGGTATCCGCTCAACTCTAATCAAGAAGCATTAGCCCTACATCAAAAAATTATATCCCTGAATATTCAGTTTTTGCAAGTATGCGTATAGTTGCTGTTTAAACATCTGTACGGAGAATCCCATATCCTTTTTGTTCTAATGCTAAAAAAAACCTTTCCTTTGACTTAGATTAAATCTTCTTTCTTCCAGTCTAAAAGCATGACCTCGTGTCCTATGTAAAGTCCTATTTGTGAATAGATTTCCACACAATGGTTTGTATTGGCCACGAATATATTTGTAAAATGTTATCATATCCCCTCTGAGGAGACTTTTTTCTGAACTAAAAAGGTTTAAATTTGTTAACCTTTCTTCATAGCTAAAATGTTCCTTTCCTTTTATTAATTTTGTAGCCCACCTCTGCACTCTTTCTAGTGCCATAATATCCTTCTTTGGAACAGGTTCTCAAAATTGCACAGCATATTCAAGATGTGGTCTTACCAGCGAATTATGAAGAGACAAAATGATATTCTCATCCCGAGAATTAATGCCCTTTTTCATGTATGACAATACCTTACTGGCCTTAGCCATTGCTGATTGACATTGAACACTGTTGCATAGTTTGTTGTCTATAACAATTCCCAAGTCCTTCTCATGTGGTTATCTCTAATTGGCTTCCATTAACGGTATACGTTGCTTATAGAGTATGATCACCAGTGGACAGAAAATAGTTTTCTTGAAGTGGTTTTGTCACCTAAGCTCTTTGCATAGACCTCTGATGGTACCTTCACAGCGAGGTGACCAGTGGCAGGGAAAGGTTCACCAGAACCTGTCCCTTGTGGCAACCGCCATCATCTTCCTGCTGTTCCTCTTCAGTTCCTGACACTTCTCCACATGCACAAGAGCACAATACCGAGGTTTGTGGAATATCTCACAAGACTGCAGGAGTCTCCATGCCTTTTGTCCACTTTTGTCAAGCATAGGTAAAACACATAATGCCTTGTGTATTTCAGGAGAAAAAGATTTCAAAAGAAAAAAAGAAGAAGAGATTAGGAGGAAAAGAAGAGGAACATATTGAAGCAAGGTAAATATAGGGAGACAGAGCCACATTAAGAGTTCCAAAGATTTGATGTATTTTAGCAATCATGAGCACCGCCTTAACCATCAATATTATAAAACGACTTTGAATAGATACAATGATTTGTTCTGGTTTAGATGCACAGGTATATTAAAAGCTGCAGATACATACAAACAAACTGGGATACAAAAGAAAAACGGTGGCTTCTGATGGTGTTCCAGCCATTTCCTCAATTGTCTTTCTCACCCTACTAAATGATGGGCGATGTTTACAATTGATACCATCATTTTGCTACACTTGAGTAATTTAGCTGCACAATGTCAGCAGTTGTTGCTGCTTACGAATTAGTTAACATCATATTACATCTCCTGACAAGACACACTACAATGCACCCGTGCCTCAGGACTGTAGGGAAAAGCAATCAATCTGTGGTCAATAATTAAGCAGTTAGTGTCATCGCATCTGGGTTTCCATCTAAGGGTCCCATTAACAAGTGATGGAATCGTTCCCCATTAATCATATCTAATTGGTTGCTACCTCACCAGCTGTGCCTAGAAAAGAATATCGAAGAATAATTTAAGCACTTAGTTCAGCTAAGGATTATATAGCAGTAGGTGTGGTTAAGGATGTTCACGGCCCCAGATGTGGGCCATGTAATTTTTAAAAATTAATATTTATTGTTTTTGAATGGTGAATTTGATTTGTAGGGAAAATAAGCAGCAGTCTTCAAGCTCTTTGATGTTAGCTCTTTGATTTCAAACGCAACCCTTGAAGCACTGAAGCCTGCGTCAGAACTGTACTGTTTCTTTCATTTCCATCTGCGTAAACCATTGAAGGAAACTGTCACTTTTTTTTACATCTATAGAAAATAAAAGATCACATTTACTATAGCACCTTAGCTTATTAGTTGGTAATGTGAATGTATCTTCCAGACCAGGGGTGCCCGAAAGGTAGATTCCCAGATGTTCCAGAACTACAACTCCCATGATGCATTGCATGTATGTAGAATGACAAAACATGGCACAGCATCATGGAAGCTGTAGTTTTAAAACATCTGGGATCTACCTTTTGGGCATCCCTGTCCTAGATGAGTTCTCTTCCTCTGCAGAATGGGCCACCTTTAAGACCTCTTTGGTAAAAAACAGTGTTTTTCCAACTAAAAGCAGATTAAACTGTCTCAGACCATGTTTTTGAGATGTCCAGTGGTCCTATAAAGAGTTTGGTTGATTATTTTGTCAATGGAGAATGTAAAGATAAGCTCCCACAGAGCAAGTGTAAACAAGGATGTATTCTGAAAAGAATTATCTATTTACCTGTATGCTTTGCAAAATGACATACACAAAGGCTTTAACACAGTTTGGCTGTGCTTTTAAGCTGTAGACATGATGCAGGTGCTTCTATCAAAATAAAAATATTAAAGGAGCACTACAAACACCATGACATGAGTACAGCCTTTTTAGTGGTTATGGTGCCAGGAGTGCCCATGCACCCTCCCAGGGTAATAGCCAAACTATATGCTAATGGTTTGACAAATTACCTGGGGTTCATCAGGTACCTATTAGAGCCTCCAGGAGAACCAGAAGCTCCTGCACAGATCTTCCCATGGTTCCTATATTTTTGGTGAACCTATATGGAGAATACATGTGCAGTGTCTGGGTTGAGGCTATTAAGTTTTACCTGTTTAGTGTCTACAATGAGAGTTCGAGAGCAAATCTAAGGTCTCCAATAGCTAAACGGAATATGATGTTAATATTAAAAGACGAACATGCCAGGAGAGTCGATTCTGTGACTCGCAGGTCTTTATGAAGATATACATATATTAATATAATACACATATATACAAGAATATACATTTATTTTTTCGTACTAGATAACACAGAAATTATGTAAAATTATTTGGTTTATTTAGTTAACAATTTTGTCCCTTTAATATACATATATACATATATATATATACATATATATATATATATATATATATATATATATACATATATATATATATATATATATATATATATATATATATAAACATAGAATGTAACGGCAGATAAGAACCATTTGGCACATCTAGTCTGCCCAATTTTTAAAATACTTTCATTAGTCCCTGGCTTTATCTTATAGCTAGGATAGCCTTATGCCTATCCCACGCATGCTTAAACTCCT